TCATATTCCGGCGAGCTCTGGTGGGCCAAATGCATGGTTATGTAGAGCATCTGCGCCCGTTTGACGTTTATTCTGAACTTTACATTTGGATATCTACCATGCTTGAAAGACCTGCCTCCTGCAAACAAAAGTCAGGTTAAAAAGCCAAGAAAACAGCAGCTTGTTCTAATTGTAACGGAACACAAAACAAAGCTAGTTTATTGTACTATTGAATGAACGTACGGACATATTATGTTCATGTCTTCGTATTTGGGCTCGCTAAATGCTACAAAAGATTTTAGGTAGTAATAATTCAAAAAATAATCAAATCAAAGGATTGACTTCATACGCTTCCAGTCCGCCCTTCGAAGATCTATCCGCATAACAGCCAAAACGTCAAAAGAAACACGCGATGATTTTGGAGAAACCACTTCTTGGAAGATTACATGCGAGCCAAAATGGTTGACTGCTTCGCGCCCAGCCTTCAAGAAATGCTTGCCTTGACAGGGGGGGGGGGGGGGGGCACCAATCCCTCCGTTGCAACCGCTGGGACGCGGTGTCCCACTCAGTAAGGGGTTTTCGGTCCCCGCAACTTTGATAAGGGAATGGACCAAATGCGGTCTGATTTTCTGTCGGGCGGGGAGAGGGGGAGGAGTATAAGGGAAAAGAAAAATAAAAAAGGTGGTCGTGTGACTCTTGCTTATGATTTCGGAAAAATGCACGCCTGGGTGCAGGCCTGCATTGCTAAGATGCTTATGAAGCGTCAAGGAGATGATTCAGGTCGCACTACACGTTGCTACAGCCCACGCTCCTTTTCAGGGTGTAGTTTTGCAAAACGGTAGGGGGTCTGAACAGTGGGAAAAGACGCAAAGTACTCCACCTATGCCGCGCACGGGCCTCCCTCACTATATCTCCCACTTTCTTCTCAAAGTTGGGAAGCTGGAGCTCCAGCTGGGCAGGGAGGCTGGTCGAAGCTCATCAGGTTAAAAAAGCTACTACGTGCCGGATTATCTTAGTCAATACAGCTCCTTCAACGCTAAGTTTTCATCGGTTAAGGTAAAAGAGTAAGTGTTGTCGCAAACGTTCGCGAAACTCGTCCTTAGTTCATGAGTCGGAATTCAGGACTAAAGCGCTAAAATCCGACATGTGGGTTAGGGCTGTTTGCGCAGATTCTTAATGGCATAATATATGTGGCGAATATGTGGTCATTTTCACAGGCCTGAGGGCAGCGCATGAAATGGTAGGACATCTCTGTGGATGTTTGCTTTCCAGATCGGTAACATGATACAAACTGCGAAAATTATGGAAAAGAGGCACCACCGAGATTCGAACTCGGGATCTCCTGTTTACTAGACAGGCGCTTTAACCAACTAAGCCATGGCGCCGCGGACGCTGAGCGCGTTTTTCTATAACATAACGAAACCTTTGAGCACTTATCACGTCTCGAAATACGTTTCATGTTTTATAGAAGAATGAGGAGTTAGTCGGCTTCCAAATAAAAAATCCAGCTTTCGATAGCTGTTCATATTATTCAACATGATATGGTAGCACTAAGCAGCAGCTTCAGTAGCGACGCCATCTATAACTTCCAAAGGACTTTGTGATCCTCCACCGCCATCTATGCGGTGTCAGGCATTCCTGAATTTAGTGTTCAGACAGTGAAGTAGCGGTATACGCAGGTATACGTGATAAACCTTCATGCACGGGCGTGTTGAAGGCGGAAGGGGACACCGGATACAAACGCCCTGGCATGCAGCCCCGACCAAAGCCATACAGGCACTAAGGAGGGAGGAGGCACGGTGTCATCTTGTTTTTTTCCGGGCAAGGGGTCTCTTGAGTAGAATGGCAGGGATTATATTATTGCTTCCGGTCAGGAGCTGAGGGGCCATTCCGTTCCACCGCGAGATACCACCTGCCGCTTGGTGCTGGGGACCCCGGCTGGAACAGGATCCTTCCATTTTCTATTTTTAACACACATCATGATATAAAATGCTTACTTTCAATGTCAGAGGGCTCCAACCAACGCAAGAGGTCCTCCGTCATTTGGGGTCCCGTCTCCGTCAACGTGGGGCAAATGTTCCCCTGACCGACTCGAGGCCTCTTGTTGGCACAGAGCACCTTATTAGGCACTAGGCCTCTGACTCATATAGGAGATCTGCATTGTTGCGAGATGCCGACCAATGTAAATCGCGGACCCGACCCTTTCCCTATTTGGGAAATTGATTCCAAGAGCTTAGATCGAAACGGAGCCGGCTGTTCAGTACTGGTGATATCTGGCCGGAATAGAGGAACGCTTTTTCTTAGTGGTCCCCAATCGGTACAATAGACCATCTGAGTGGTATTTGAGGCCACGGCCTTACGGACGGGGTACTAAGTGTGATCCGCAACCAGCCTTTCGGGTCCCTCAGCCTTCCAATGGAACCCTTGATCTTTGGTCCCGAGGGGCCCTTCTTCCCCTCTTCGAACCTCCTCAAACAAGGCCTACAACCGACTCAGGGCCGCTACTCGACACATGACGCTATGTTGGGCACTGTGGGCCCCTAGCCGACACAGGGGCCATTGTTTCAGAGACCCAAACCAATGAAACTCGTGGCCCCCGGCCCTGCGGCCCGGCGTTGGAAATAGGCCCCCGGGATTCAGACAGGCAGGAAGCCAGCTGTTCGGTGCTCGAGGTCTCTGGCCGACCGAAACACCCGCAGTGCTTTAGGGGGCCCTCGGGCAGTACAATAAGATCTTTTGGCTGATATTTGAGGTCACGACCCTACGGGCCGCGATTCCTATGGGACCTACAGCCAGTCCTTCGGGCCCTTATGCCATCCAATCGAGCCCTTCATCGTCGATTCCGCTGGGCCGCCGGGTCCCTCTTTGGGCCTCATCAAACACTCTCTTTGGTCGGCTCGGGGCCCCTTGCGAACGCAAGACCCTCTGTTAGGCACTGTAGGCCCCTGAAAGATACAGGGGGTCCCGGCCAGTGTAAATCGCTGACCCCAGGTTTGCAGCGAATTAGGAGGTGGGCACTCGGGCCCATATCGACACGGAGCTGACTGTGCGGTACTGGGGGTGCCTGGCCGACATGTAAGCCCATAGCGACTCAGAGGGTCCTCGTTCGGCGCAAAGGGCACTCTACCTGTCATTTGAGGGCCTGTCCCTGCAGGCTAGAGCCCCTGAATAAGACCTGACCGGCACTTCGTACCCTTAAGCCCCCCAATCGGGCCCTTGATCGTCGGTCCCGGTGGGCCCTCCAGGCTCTTCGGGCCTGTTCAAACACTGCCTCTGGCTGACTCGGGCCCCTTGCCAACACAGGGCTCCCTGCTAGGCGAAGTGGGCCCCCCGACAGACGCTGGGGCCCCGATAATTGTAAATCGCTGGTTCTTGCCTTGTCCATACCTGGGGAATGGACCCCCAGGCACATGTCAACACGGAGCCGACTGTGCGTAATTGGTAGCGTCTGATCGGCATATAGGCTCTTATCAACTCAGGGGGCCCTGATCGGCGCACGGGTACCTCTGGATTGGGTACCTCTGGATTGAAGTTCCCTACCCTGTGGGCTGAGCCCCTGAAGGCGACCCTCGGTCGGCCCTTCGGACCCTTCGGACCCATCAAAGCGGGCCCTTAATTGTAGGTCCCGAGGGACCCGAAGGGACCCTCGGAGCCTAAGTGTCAGGGGGGGGGGGGTATGTGCTCCCTACGCCTCCCTGCCTGCGCTACTGCCGGCATGCTCATTTACAGAAAGTTGACCTTCAAGCAGCTGTATGACCCTGTCATCGGACCGTCCACCTTCAAGGCTGCCGAGGGAGACGACGGTCCTTGATGCTGCTGTGAACTTCACCTCTGACGGTCCCAGCACGCGCGGATGGCGTCGCCGTGGAGGAAAGCTCTACGCTGCGCCTGACATTTTTCAAGAGGCCGACATCAACCTATGGAATCGCTGCTACGCGCCGGTGGTGCGGTATATCTAATATTTCTCAGTTGTTGAACCTGAGGAACCCATGATACTTATGCACCACTGGAGTCAAATTCTTCAGTTAGGAATTTATCAATTTTCGCACTCATTCATCATACTTAAAACATGCAGCAAAGACTTGTTGATTTACATCTTAACAGCACAAAATATTCTACATATTCTAGCGAGGTGGCCAGACATTCTACGAACAGACAGTGTATCGCGTCAAATCTACGAATTTCTTTGGCTTTGCGCCTTCCTGCTGTAATCACAAAGATCTCAACCTTCGCATCACGCGATGTTAAAGTTATTGGGGTTTTTAATTCGTGTGCAAGTTCCTGCTTCCTCATCGTACCATCGTAAGGCAGCAGCCTACGAACTGCAACTTTCTGCTGGTCTCGTTGTATGTAAGTTAACGGTGGCTAGTCATCCGAGTCGTGGAGTCATGCTTGACTTCCACCGTATTTAGGAGCCACCTTTAACTCGTTTTGCCATACCTTCTTCGAAAAGCTAAGCGTAGAATGAAAGGATCCATCTGAGTGCCTGGAAAAACAACGTGCGCCCGGCACGTCGCCCTACTGTAGTAAGCACTTCACAATAAACAGAAAACTATCGTTTCCCGGTTAAGATAGAAAAGCCCTTAAACAAAGTGGCAGAAATCTGGGGACCTTTTTGCGAGCGCGCGGACACCAAGTTCCACGGACACCCAGGAAAGCATGACTCTTCACTGGACGAAATCCTGCATCCCTGCTCAACAGTCTTGGTATTTTATCACTGCCATACGATGTACATACCTAATAATTTTCAGTAACGCGGAGGCGCACCTGCTATCCGCCTCGATAGTTATAGATCTAACAGCGGCATACTGCCCGAGAACCGTCACATTTGTTTCCTGCAGTGCCTGGTACTGTGTGCCAGTGCCTGGCCTGGTTCACCACGTCTTCACGCGTCTATCTAATCATTGATTCATTTGGTCGTCATGGCAACCATTTGGTTTGGCGCGGGTGTGGCGTTTGGTGGCGACTCTGTTGCCCGGGTGGTGACTTTAGTTCAGTTGTGTTCTGCCACATTTCGCGGTCTTGTTGACAGCAGGTATTTGCTGCGCGAATTGCCGGGGAAAATAGATAGAAGTCGCAAGCCGCTGCTCATATTGTGCAACACGTGAGTGCTGGGAAAGTGAGCGCTGGGTTCGCAACTGCCTTAAAACCGTGCAGTGCTTTCATATCCAGCGGGTGCGGCGTTGAAGCCGCTGTTCGCGGCCTGTGACGCTGCCATCTTTGACGGCTATTGTCCCGCGCGTTTGCGCTCAACATTATATTCATTGAACGTTATCTTTTTGCAGCGTATGTCTTCAGAAATCCAGTGTGGGGCTAATGGCGGCCCGTCCGCTCTCCCCTCCTTGATCAAAACCTTGGAATCCATTTCACCTATCTTGGCGAACAGGGTCTCAAGCGAAATCTTGTCTGAGCTTACTCTTTAGTTACTCACGAGATGTCGGGTGTGACGTGTCCGAGTGCACGGGCGTCACGCTGAGGAAGGCCAAGAAAACCAAATCCTAACAAAGTAAAGCCTGACGTACACCTTACATTACCGAATCAAGCCAGTAATGTCCTCAGATTTTGTGTACTTGTTGCAGATTGCCGTTGCTACTATGGTAAGCTAAAATGCATTTATGCGATCCGTTGAAGCGGCGCCTGGTGCAGAATCCTGGATATGAGGCAGAGAAAACACAAACGAATATGTTGAGCAGATTGTCATTCAAATGGTAGTGTTTACATCTGTGCCCAGTAATGTGACAATTGTCCCTTTATCTAGCAATCGCTGGGATTATTGGCAGGCATATAAAGTTGATTGAGAAAATGCACTTTTGGTGCAACTTTGCAATGTGCACGGATAGTAACCGCCATCCTTCTCCATATTTGCTGCGTGAGGCAAAAAAAAGAAGAATTGATATATGTGTGACGATCCATACTACTCTATAGCAACGTGCTTGTTCCCTTTATTTGGATATCACATCCCTTGAGGTTTTGGTTTATGTGCCCCTGATTCACGTGGTACCATGCTGCTGCTTAGCACGGAGCAGAATCCCGAAGTTATCAATTCGTATTGGTCAACGAAATCCGACGCCACAGCACAAAGACAGTTCAGAATTTACATTAGAACCCGTGCATCCCTTATGCTAAAGCAATGTTGCGCCTGCGGAAGAAGATTATGAAAGACTGGTCTGTGCTGGAACGAAACACAGAGCGAAACGAGAGGACAAGGAAAAAACAGCAGCGCATCACAGCTAGGTGTGACATCACTAAGGGCCCATCAAAACAGGGCCCAGGAGGTCAACGACAGTCATGCAATCATTTATGGTTGCCGATCCTGGAAAATGGCCTCAAACTATCCATTAAGAGTTTGTTGTGTCGATAAGCAACAGTGGCTGGCATTTGCCGACCCGCTGAAGACGAAAGCTGAAACCGATCTTGGGTTTCTGACCCACGCTTGGTTCAGCGACGAGCCCCACCTACACCTGAATCTAGCTGTAAACATTTATACTGGCGGGTTCAGGCCTTGAAGCTGCCACACAGCGTGCTGGAGATCCCGCTATACGGCGCAAAGATGAGACAGTATGTTACGAGCTCGGGAAACCTCATTAGATCCCTCATTTTCCAATGTACAGACGGCTATACGGCCAGTCAATAAGGAGCGGTGTGGAGGGGAGCGATTCTGGATGCAGCGGAAGCAACAAGGCAAAGGTGAAAATTGGAAGGTCGGGTTCCAGCACGACAGGACAACCTCCCACATGTCAGGAACGGCCCTGACCTGGCTGGTGGGCCACCTTGGAGAACGCATGATCAGCCGAGAGACGAACAATCGCGGACGACCAGCTCTCCGAATTTGCCCCCCAAGATGTTTATTTGTGTAGGTGCTTAAATGCTAAATATGCACTAAGAGCCCCCAGCAGCCCGGTGACCTGAATGACAGTAATCGACCTAATGGGCGATTAGTGTGATCCTACGTTGTGCACGATCACCCTTTACACTTGCGCGAGGGTTATCGGTGAGGTAATGAGGCGCTTAGACCTGTGCCTTCCTGCGGCAGAGGTCCCTGGTAATTTGTGGGCTTTGATGATCATGGAAAATGCTCATGTAGCTAATACCCGAGGATATGGAGTGATTTTTAGGCGGTCATGATCCTCTGGTGAAACAGAGTATGATATGTCCATGCATACCTCTAAAAAACTTTTTCTACTTGCCCCCCCCCCCCCCCCAGAACTAACGCCTTAGCTTACGCCTGGCAGCTTAGTGCACGCTAACGTTGTCAAGACGTGTCAAATTAACAATCATGAAAAGTCAACAAACTTTAACGCTAAGGTTGAAACAGCTTGGCAATGAAATCAGAAAAATAGCTGAACGAAATTTCTGGGATTATGTATAACCGACATTAAATAGGACTGAGACCGCGTAAAAGCTACCTTCGTATGACGTAGATATATCGGCACGAATGATACATAATGTTTCGGTGTAACTTACGTCGCCAATTTTGTTCCAATGTATCGATAAGCCGGAGACACAGGAGGCACTGAAAGAAGAGTCTGCCCGTGTTTTCCAGCTGAAGTCAGCTCAACGCTGGGTTCTCACCATGGGTTCTCACCATTCTCCTCCGCCCCGGATCGATGCCGGAATATTCAACGTGGCCCGTCCGTCCTACAGCCCTGCTACAATGCAGCTGATGAAAGGTCGGTAACGCGCCACGTGGCTGCTGCGCCTGTGGCTTTAGTGCCTCGTGGTGAGAGAAGGGACTGTCATGAAGCGTAAGCAGGGTTTGTCTTCTTATGAAGGCGCTTTAGAGCCATTGTGAACGTTCTGATGTAGCGTGAGATGTCGGCTTCCTGCTGCCTGCTGGCAGTCATTTTACTTCCGGCGTAGGTAAACCAAGCAGGGACGGTAGATTTATGGTTGGTGGTTGTACCTTCTAATAACAAACACCCTTCTCTCCAGATGCTTTGCGGCGAATAATTCGGGGTGGCGGTGAGCTTGATAACACTCCCAGGCGTTACAGGTGCCTCGCTCACTGTACAGAATGTTCTTCAACTACGGTGAAACCATGCTCCTTCCAACGTATTCCGAGAAAACCATTTGTTTTGCCCACACGCTTCCAAGCAGTTACGCCTCCTTCTACGTGACGTGTTGTTGCTTTCAGTGCTGATGGAGGAGACCAGGGTCCCAAAGGCCCAGCAGCGCCTGTTCCAGCAGTCCTTGCGCTCCGGCCAGCCTCTGCCGACCTTCGATCGTTCTGTTCGGGTACGCTCATCATCGTGCCACTTAAGCTGTTGTCTACCAAGGTCTCTCCACGGAGAAGACCAACGACAACAGCAGCGTTATGGTATCATACGTCGCAGTATTAGCTAAAATTCCATACCCGCTCCCTCTTTTTCAAGCTGTGGCCCTAGTTGTTGGCAGGTATCTAATAAAAAGCTTCGTTTGCAAATCGGACACCGGTTGAAGTATTTCTTGTGCGAAGACCTAGTGGCTGTCCAATCGTGTGACCTTCCAGCTTCCGTTTGCGTGTTTGACCGCGACCCATCGTCTGCACCTGCCTCCGTTAGACATTAATGGCCTGTTCCTTTGTCTCATGACTGCCGCCGCCTCGGTCGTGCGGTGCTAACCCGCCGCGAAGACTTGACCTGACCTGACCTGACCGCGGTGCGGAGCAGCACCGACCTCGGCCGTCCCGGCCCGCTCCCCGCGAGCGGACGGAAAGCACGTGCGGCCGCCGAAGCCAGGACACCATCAGCCGTCTGGAGAGCGGCCAGCCACCCGTCTACCGGCCGGTTCCAGGACGTGAGTGTGCCGTATACACCGGAACAAAGGCGGGAGTGTACTGTGTGCGTCGGCACAAAGGTGTGAGTGTGCCGTATATACCGGAACAAGGGCGGGAACGTACTGTATGCGTCGGCACAAAGACGTGAGTGTAGCTTATGCTTCGGCACAAAGTCGTGAGTGTGCCGGACGCTCCGGAACAAGGGCGGAAGCGTACTGTACGCATCGGCACAAAGACGTGAGTATAGCGTATGCAGAGGCACAAAGATATAAGTGTTCCATCTACATCGGCACAAAGTCGTGAGCGCACCGAACACGGCGGCAAAAGGGCAAGAGTGTACTGTATGTCCCAGCACAAAAACCGTACGCGCCGGCAGAAAGGCCTGGATGTACCGTTTGCACCGGCAGAGACGTGAATGTGATTTGTGCGCCGGCACAAAGATGTGACTGTGGCATATGCAGCGGCACAAAGACGTTAGTGTGCCGTCGGCACCGACACAGAGACATGAATATACCTCTGACGCTGGCACAAAGACGTGAGTGTGTCGTATACACTGGCACAAATATGTGAGGGTACCGTATACACCGACATGGGGGCGTGGGTGTGTCGTGTGCACCGGCACAGGGATAGTGTGTCGAATGTAGTTGCGTATAACAGTAACGCATCGGGGCGGCCTTCGGCTTCGGTCTTCGGCTTCGCAAAGCCACTGTTTTTCGTTCATGGTTTCGGGTTCAGCTTTAGCTTTCAGATATTTGGTATAGCTGGATTCTGCTTAGGCCTCGTGTCGTTTTAAACGGTTGTCCTTGGCTTTGGCCTTGTGCTATCTTTGTAAGATCTGCCTCGGATCCAGCTTTACGTTCTGAAAATAGTAAACCACTGGCTCCCAGTTTGGCGTCACAATTGCAGACTTCAGAGACACTCGCTTTGGCTTTGTCTTCGGCCTCAGGTTATAAGCCCTTTTCATGTAAGCATGAGTAGGCAGGGGTAGTGTTGCCTATTAAAAGACAATTTGGTACCGAGTCTGAGTTGTTAGAAAAATCGGATAGGAAGGTGGAGGACCATAGTTTGCCAGTTTATTATCAGGCTAATCAAAACAGTCGTAACCTTTCACACTGGGGCGTCTTTGTTTCACTATTATGTATCCATTCGCCATTTAATGTTGGCAGTACATTATGAGCTAGTTTTCCGTGTCAAAACACGAACGCAACATAACAAACTGGTAAAAAGTAACCAAACAAAAAGGCTTCTAGCGTAAAGTTTGCCGGCTTCTTTGATAGGCCTGTCGGAAAATAGTTGCTTCGTCACCCTTTGTTCCTTGTGTGCATTTGCATCCCATGTTCATTTCAGAATTAGGTGTCTGTGGAATGCGGCGGGACCAAATTAGGCACCAGTCGAACAAACGGTTGGGTGAAAATGGCTGCTCTGTTGACTGGATTCGGCTTCAAAATCAGAAGTCTGAACTTTTGCCCATGTGCGGTACCAGGACGTGGATAGGGCGTGTCTTATGTAAAGATACAGGGGCATAAGTGTGCCATATACATGGGTTATGTTACGTTAGCATGTCGTATACGTGAGGAACGGGAAGTGAGTGTGTCACACCGATGCCTGTGCCGTGCATCTCAGTACGGGATCGTGCGTGTGTCGTTTACCTATCACCGGGTAGGTAAATGTCCGGTCGTGGCAACCCTGCCGCTCTTTTCATGGTAACTCCGATACCCTGGCCCAGAAAACCCCGACACCCTGCCACAGAAAACCCTTTACCTGGCCCACAAAACCCCGATACCCGGACGCTGATAACCCCAACACCCGGCCGCAGGTAACCCCGACACCTGGCCGCAGGCAACCCTGACACCCGGCCGCAGGTAACCCCGACACCTGGCAGTAGAAAACCCCGACACCCGGCCGGAGGTAACCCCGGCACCCGGTCGCAGGTAACCGGGACACTCTGCCCCAGATAACCCCGACACCCTACCCCAGATAACCCCGACACCCGGCCGCGGGTAACTGGGACACCCTGCCCCAGATAACCCCGGCACACCGCCCGCTATAACCCAGACATCCTCCCGCAGGTAATCCCGCCGCCCGGCTGCATGTAACCCCGACACCCGGCCGCATGTAGCCCCGACACCGGGCCGCAGGTAACCCCGACACCCGGACACACGTAACCCCGACATCCGGCCGCACGCAACCCCGAAACCCGGCCGCAGGTGACCGGGACGCCGAGCGGGAGCGGCTGGCGTACGTGATGACCCACGGCCGCGATGAGCTGCCGCTGGCCGGCGCCGCCGACTCGGCCGAGCCGGACAACAGCGGGGGGCCGCCGGAGCCGCCGGACAGATTCGAGGAGTGTGAGTGGAGAGTCAGGCTCACGACCCATGTCGCTCAGTACTAGTGGTGTACCAAGGGAAAGTTTTTGCGGTGATGTCCTCACCCTTCTCGCTCTGGTGGTGGGGTGGGGCATAGTTTCTGGACCCAATTACTTTTTGGCGGTTTGACACGTCCGGAGGGCCTCTAAAGAAGGGCCCCGAGAGATGAAAACAAAGCCTCGAGCCCAAAAAGGGCCTCTGCCTTAAACAGCAGGAACCCTATAACGACGAAGAGAGACCCCACTTGGCTGAGGGGCTCTCTGGCCTACTTTAGTAGGGCAAAATCCTGGCTGCGCCACTGTTGCGTGTGCATGCGCTTGGGCGATCGATCGCTGGTGATGGGCGAAACGACTGAACCTCTGTGAGCACTGCTTTCGCAATCCCAGCCAGTTTTAGCGTGCATCAGGGACTTCAGGACACCAGGGACATCAGGGACAGGGACACAGGAACAGGGACAGGGACATCAGAGTCTCGAACGAACACCACCCTGCCGGCTGCCGGCCCGGTATGGGGCTCCTCACGGCGAACACTGTCCTGCCGGCAGTGTGGCGGGAGGTGGAGGAGCGGCAGCAGTTCCTGCAGGAGATGCGCCAGCTGGGCAGAGCGGACGAGTACGAGGCCGTCATCCGCGGCGAGGTCGCTCGCATCGTGAAGGAGATGGAGCAGCTGCAGCGAGAGGAGCGGCAGTGACTTGAGATGGCGCGAAGCAGCGGCGACCGCAGGGGAACGGATTGAGAAGAGATGGCGCTCGCGAGGGCACCGGAGCAGAGCGAAAACAGTGTGCAGAGGATACACACGAGAAACGGGGGGGGGGGGGAGGGGACAAAAAATAAAAAAGCAAGAGAAAAGTTAAAATTTTGTCGTGGGAAGATCATTCACCTTTATAAGCGGTAAGACATATCGCGACCTGTCCTCAAGACTGTGGTGTGGTGATCGAGTGCAGGTGGGAACGCGGATTCGGAAAATTGCAGTCGCGTTTACTTTATATACTTATTGTCGTACTTGAGGTTATCTCGTTGCCATCCATATGGCGGCTTTGCCATTGTGCATGTGAAAGATGTGCAAAGCCTATGTGTACTCGATGCGGAATAAATAGACTGATTGCAAAACAGGATTGAGCGTTACACTCTCATGGTAAATCGCACTTGTGACTAACAAGCTGTAGTATCGTCCGCTCTCACAGCCCGACCAAACACTATGTCGGGTGTTTCCGTGAGTATTTGCCCAATACCTCGGTAATAACAATAGCAATAATATAACGTCCGAGGCGACCGAACACGTCGCGCCCCCGCCACGCGCCACCACCCAAGGCTAACTCTATCGCGCGACTCCACTTGCCTGGCGCGTAGGCGCCCTAAACAACTGCCATACACCCCACAAGCGCATCAAGAAAACAACTGCATGCAAATAAACGGACAAATATCAACAGCAGCGCTGGGTGGTGCAGGTAGGGATACACATGGGAAACAGTATCACTGTTTGGACACTGTTTTCCGTGCCGAGAAAATGTAGGGATAATTATATGAAATTTCGTGGAAATTTCATTCCGCATGAGGTGTCCACGCCATGTCCACGCGATGCGGTACATGGGTACGTCAAGCACAATTCTGGGATGCGTGTGTATCTCAATTTTGACCCTAAGCCAATGCTGATTCCTTTTCGGGGTGACGGTCAAGCCTATGCAGTATCGCTAGCCTACATCGCGTCGTTTCTTGCCCAGCACAGGGCACGGGAGGAGGCTGCACAGCGCCGCCGCACGAAGGCCCCCAGCTCGTACCACCCCGCGGACAACCCCTCCCGCCACCCCTGCAGCAGATCAACGGTCCGTGACGGGCAGTCATCGACCCCTCAATGGCGGCACTGCCCTGCCGGGGACGCGGGCAGCGGCGGCGACCGACTACGGTGATGACATGAATTACGCGGGAGGAGGGATGCCCCAGCTGCCGCCGCCGCCGCCATACACGTGGGCTTCGGCACGCCAGCGTCTAACCAACTCACGGCGGTGTAACACAAGGTTGACAACAGGTCAACAGCTGGTAAATGTCTGCTCACTGGTTAAAGCCAAAACGGTCCTGTTGAAATGAGCGTTTAACATTGTGTGAGGGTGGTTTTCGCGGCGGTGAAGTCGTTCAACTTTCAGCGGGAGGGCGAATGCTCAACGTTGGCATTCGCCAGAAAACGCAGTTGACATCAAAGCATCGCCACATGTACGACGAAATAGGGCCACACGCAAGTAGGATATGTGGTTGCATTCGGGACGGCGCGGGCTGCCATCTTCGTTGGGCCGCTGCTCCATTAAAGGGAGCTTCCCACATTTATATTGGGTTTTGAACTGAAATAGCCGTCCTGAAGATCTTTCGGCGCTGTTCACAATCCTGCCCTTCTTAAGACCTAAGATTCTCTGGTTTCTGAACCACACGCCCGTGAAAATTGAGAAAGGTGTGTCGGGGAGAACATTTCAGTCACTTTGGCATTCATGACGTCGCAATAACGCCATTGCAATTTTGCCATTCCATAAGCCGTGCGGTAAACAAGGTCAGGAAAAATATTGTAAAGATGTTCAGATCTGAATTTCGTGAGCGTGACTTCCAGATTTCTGTGAGGGCTTAGTTTCCAGCCGTCAGCTGGCTCCCAATCAATGTTGTACGAGGTACGATGACGCAATCAACCCATGACGCATTGATGAGCATATTTACTTAACGGAGCATTGTGCTGTCTAAAGCAGTCTTTCGCGTGAAAAATCGAGCCAATAGTGTAAGTTAGTTTGTTTCACCATATCTAATGCTTACTTAAATATCTTCAAATGTGGAACATTCCCTTTTATATTCTAGGATGCCTTACATGGGTAAGTCAAGTATAATTCTGGGATGCGCGTGGACCTCGATTTTGGTTCCAAGTCGGTGCTGATCGTGCTGGTTTTCTACCAGCTCTTATATGCCTATTCCCGACTCAAGTTGGGGCCTCGCCCCTACAGCCTGAAAGTTGTGGGGATATCTGCCGCTGCTGCCCCTCCCCTTCCCTTTCCGCCCTTTTGCTACGTATATGAGTCTGAGGGGGCCTTAATGCTCCGCGCATGTAAATATATGTTAATGGGGTTATGGCGGGGAGGCTACTGGCTTCCCTCACCCACTCAGTCCGAGCGAGGGAAGGGAGAGGAAGGCAAGGAAAATTCCTAATCTGGTAGCATCTTTGCATCCATCTATGGCGTGGAGATGACGAGAAATGGCGGTTGGGGTAGTTCATGGTGCCTCGGCAGCACCGGTATATGCGCTCTATCACCTTGACCCCCGTAGCCTGCATTGATGCCGATTTGGTGTACGTGAAGGAAGGTTAGGCCGCTCAGTTTGGGGTATTTCAACCCCTCCAAAGTTATTTGAACATTTCCGGGTGTCCAGATAGTAGAATATGCCACGTGCTTTGGGGCGTGACGTGTGAGGCGCTACTCCCTGCAGGGTCGTCATTGAGCATCAGGTAGGTGTCTATGAAATGAACTGTAAGGTTTAACCATATATCTACTAGCTAATTGTTTGACGATAATTTCTTGATATTTTCACAACCCTTTAGGTGTTGTGTCTGCCATGGAATACTCTTTCCCTAAGTACTACATGATGATAATCAGCAAATGATATTTGCACAAGCACTGATTGACTAACCGGGCCCCTGCTGTGATGCCATGATAAGTTAGGATTCATAACATATAAGAATCCACCCACAGGGTCGGATACCTACGTGAAATTGATGTGCCACACCTCATGACTGTATGCTCCAAACTCAGGCCAGGTTACATGCATAGAATGTTCAGATTGGTGTGGTGACAAAAATGTTTCTGCAGTATGCTTTTCCAGTACTACCTATGCACCATCATAAGTCCTTGAAACATAGGCCCTCTTTGCCTATAAATTGGGGACTCCCTGTGCTGTGGAGAACTTCCAGTAACCAATTGTATGAAAAGGTCACCCTAACCTTTGAGTTATACATTTTCTTCGGAATAGACCTCATAGCATTTTCTTACAAGTAAATCTAAGGGGGGAGGTACTGAATCTCAACAACAGCCCAACAGATCTGTTCATTTGGATTCGGTGATGTCTTTTTTCTTGGGATTGAGCCTATCAAGGGGCCCTGCCTCCCAGACGCTCAAGGTGTCGGTAGTTGTACCTGTGGATTGAAATACAAGACTTAAGAACATGTCTTTGCACAGTTTTGTTTCAATGACTGAGTATAAATTTAGATCATCACTGTGAAATTGCATGGAAACAATAGCAGGGTGTATGAAATGCATGATATCTTTTCCATGATTGAAATATGAAGCAGCACCTGAACCTGCAATTAACATCTGAGCAACAGCGGCACAGCGCCCTCCAAGAAAGTGCATAGAGATGAAGGGCAATGTGGAAGGGTCCTCAGCAATTGGATGGACCTTGCAAGTGGACATGTAGGGCCTCGGCAACAGCAAAGGGTCTCTGGGTAGCATAATGAGCCCCAAAATTTCCCCCCAATCACGACCCCCACAATCAGCAAATAATATGTTTCTGGTCATGGGCACTTCACTTTCAGCTGCAACTCCTCTTGATCGTCTTGGGACCAAAAGACGTCCAATTTTGTTGTGTTTTTGTCAGAAGACTGCGTCTGTTCGGCCGGCTATGGACAACCTCGGGGCCTATGGGTTCCCTAGGCCATTCGGAGTACAAGAGAGCATGGCCCGCTCTCTCCCCCCCCCCCCTCCCCTTCAAGATCCGTCACTGGCCCAAACAGCAAGAGGGCATAGCCATCCATTTCGGTAATAAATACTCAAAATATGATTTGGAGCACCCTAAACGATCGCGTGTGCTCGAGCAGGTTAACAGACGGGTCCCCGCACGATATTCGAAAAGAAAGTACTCGAGGCCCAATGTGCAGGGTCCCCGAACGACCAAGTGTGCATGAATGGGTTGACAGATGAGGTTCGAACAAAGGCGTAGGGCCCTGCAAAACCAATAGGAAGAAGCCGAGACCTAGTGTGGTGGGTCACGAACGTTCGAGTGCCCGAGCACCGTAATTGATAACGCCCCAACAAGAGCGGAGTGTATTTCGCAAGTGATGGACTTGGAACGGCCTTAGACCAGTATACAGGGCCCATGAGCATATCGTGAGTGTCGGTAGGTTAACCGAGACCAACGTGAAGGGCCCCTGAACAATCGAGAAGATCCCGGCAATTAAACGAATGGGGCCCCCGGTTGTAGTGTGAAGAGACTTTTGGGCGAAGGTAAAGGATCTGAAAGGCCCCTGATCGACAAGAGTGTTCCAGCATGCTAGCAGAAGATGCCCCGACAACAGCGCAGGGCGTTCCGAGCAAATGCAAGGAAATCAAGAGCAGTGTACGAGGCTTTTTAGCAACCGGATTGACCATGGCGACTAGAAATATAGGCCCCCCGTGAACAGCGTAGGGCCTCTGGACGGCAGAATGAGCGTTACAATCTCTCAATCTCCACCACTTCAGTCCGAGAATGATAACTTTTGTGTGTTCTCGGGCCTCTTCAGCTCTTGCCTACGACTGTTGGTGGTCATCTAAAAGCCCAGAGACGTCCAATTTTGTCGTGCCTTGTATTAAAAAACTGCGTCTGTTCGCCGGCTAGGGCCCCTTCGGGCCCAAAGCGGCGTGGGCCCATGGCTTCGTGACCCCCGGCCCCCCTCTGGACTTGGCACTGGGTTGA